TGATAGACTTACGACACAGTGCACACTTAATGACGCACAGTGACTGCTGGATATGGGCACCAGTGACCCCTGTGACCCTGAAAGGAAGAAGTGGGTATAGATAATGGATGGATGGATGGCATATTAGTCAAACCATGTTAACTTTATCCACAATCCTATGTAACATTTCAACATGTCACACTCTGTAAGCAATATGAATGATTGTTGCTATAATATCAAATTTTAGTTCAATGTTTGCTAAATTGACTGATTTATATGTGGGGAGGTTTTGTCGTTGACTTATAGTAAAAATAAGTGGCGGCCATCTTACATTCCAAACCTTAATCAATTGAAGATGCACACTGTCTAAAGGTTTCATTAAAATCCACCCAGTGGTCTATGAGATATGCTCCATGTAATATAAACTTCCTTCACACAAGCTAGCTAACAAACAGTATAAATAAACAAGCACCAGGACAAACCAGAGTTTGGAGCTCGTTAGGCTTCGACATTAGAGTTTGTTTGTTCTAATTTGCTCGCACAGTGACCTAACTCCTTTATAGTGAACACGTGTTGAGGAGGGGATGGAAAGGCAAACGTTACAGAGGAAAAGAAGGAGGGGAAGTCCAGGGATGAAAAAAAAACATATTTTTCCAATATGCAGACAGGGCCGTTCATCAGGCGAACGTTTGACACACGTCTTTGAAGGGAGTCAGAAAGTACAACTTTGTGGAAAAAGTTTTAGTGAATTGAAACAGGACTTTAGGCTAAACAAATGTCATTTTTGGATGCTGAGATGATGGGGAAAGAAAAGATGATGAAAAGATACATTCCTCACTGGCTCGCCATTTCCTGGGCTTGATTAGAGCAAAGCAGCGACTTGTGAGACATTAAGATTAAGATCTCGGCTGTCCAGAGGGGATTACAAAACAAGGAAACTGTACGAGTGTCTTTATCAAACATGACACTGGCTTTTAGAAGAGGAAGTCTCATTACAGCCTTTGCTTATTCACTGAAGCCTCAGTGACAGAGCTGCTTGTAAAGGTCAACACTAAAGGTCAGAAATGAGCTGGTTCAATGAAAACAAGGACGTGCATCCACAAACAGAAACACTGTAGCATCTCTTTATGACCATTTCCAGGCAGATACTAAATACTGAATGGGAACTTACTCCTAACAATGGGTTATATAACATTTGGTAAGGATGTCCCCATGGTTCTTCTCCAGAGAGGTGTTCCTGGCATGTCCAACAAAGAA